TTTTCCGCAACATCTGTCTTTTCTTCTGAGTACTGCTTTGTTCGGGGGGGTCTGCCATTATAAAGCAGAGACCATGTATGTGACATAGACTTGACTGATACAGACCTTTCCATAATAAATTCACTTTATTTTCTTTCAATGTAGTGAAGAGCTCTTCTACCAGATACTAGTTTTTGACTTTGCAAATTTTGGAGTTTTAAGATTGTCAGTAAGTATAAACTCCTTCAAACCTTCTGTGCAGTTTTTTGGAGAGAGTACTCGGTTACCAGTTTATGATCTTGTATTCTGAAATATGGATTTTTTTATTTATTTATGCAGAGTAGGTCACATCAGGCTCCAGGTGGGAAGGTCAAATTTTGATGAGTACTGGCACTATGTTTAATTTCCTTTACATCAGCATAGCATAGCTGATGTAAATTCCACCTGTTCTGAATTCTCACGTGGGTGGCTTCATTCTGACCATAAGATTCTAGTCCTTCAGCAACTTTGCTGCCTAATCTACCTGTTCTGTCTGTTCTTCACCAGAATTATATTGGGAATTTCTCAACTTTTAGCCACCATGCCATAGGCTTTATAGAGTGGTAAGAGAGGAGCATAGTCTGTTTACTAGGAGAAAAAGCAAAATTTCACTGCACAAAAAATTACAATGGGAAATTTGTGGTTAAGGATCATTTTTATATTAAAGATTTGAGATGCCTGGGTAATAATTGTGTCGTCTTTGGATTTTTAAAGGAACCAGCACCACTGTATGATCTAGCGATGCTTGCTTTGGAGAACCCTGAAAGTGGCTGGACGGAAGAGGATGGCCCAAAAGAAGGACTTGCAGAGTATATTGTTGAGTTTCTAAAGAAGAAGACTGAAATGCTGAGAGATTACTTCTCTCTTGAAATTGATGAGGTGACTCTTGCCTATGCTTCTATTACAGCAGTTATGTAGGTAACTCTAAGTGTTGGTCACATGATATTTGTCTTTTTTAAAACTGCATGCAGACTTACTTTAAGAATAGTTCCAAATTGATGTATATAGTTGTAAGAGCTAGAGCCAGTTAAGTGTGGCAAAGCTCAACTTCCAGGCGCCTAAGCTCTTTCCTGTACTGCATGCGAGGTTAGGCAGAATGGGCTTTGAAACACCCAGCATGTTGCCTGAAGTCAGTAGGGAGGACCTATCTCCCGAAGCTTCTCCTGATCACTTTCAAAGTGATCAGGAATCCATATTTATTAAAAAATACAACTGAAGGTAGTCTGCATTAAACTCATTGAATAAGAAATCCCTTGGAGCAAGGACTGGAGCACTAATGTCCTAGTCCCTAGTGAGTGCTATAACTGTCAGGCTGGAGACTTTTGCGAGTAATCTGTTGATTTATTTCATGCAAAGTGGAACAGTTTAAAACAATTGAAAATGCGAGAGTAATCTTTAATTTGGGGATCAGAACATTGTGGGTGGCTGGAGGTAAGAGATGAAATCCGTCTAGGCAGAGAGCTAGATAAAGGATAGTGTCTTCTGCCAGTCTTTTAGGCATGCTTTGAAAGGGGTTACGGCATGATAAGTGGAGGAATGTTTGTGGAGGCTGCTATGTGTTCACCTCCCATGTAAGTCCTAGCTCCTTTGGTCTGAGTAATTCAGGGTAGATTTTTAGATACCTCTAGGGTTACCCAAGTCATTTTGATACATTTGTGAGAAGACTAGACTTCTCAAGCACGTAGGGCATGGGTACAGTTTTCTGTACAACTCTATCCATATTTAACTTGTGCTTTGTCCGCTATACCCTCTTACCCTGTGATAAATCATAGAAAGTTAAGGTTGGAAGGGACCTCAGGATGTCATCTAGTCCAACCCCCTGCTCAAAGCAGGACCATCCCCAACTACATCACTCCAGCCAGGGCTTTGTCAAGGTGAGCCTTAAAAACTTCCAAGGATGGAGATTCCACCACCTCTCTAGGTAACTTGTTCCAGTGCTTCACCACTTTCCTAGTGAGAGAATTTTTTCTCATCTCCAACCTAAACTTCCCTTGCTGCAACTTGAGACTATTGCTCCTTGTTCTGTCATCTGTCACCACTGAGAACAGTCTAACTCCATCCTCTTTGGAATGACCCTTCAGGTAGTTAAGGGCTGCTATCAAATCCCCCATCAGTCTTCTCTTCTGCATGCTAAATGAATCCAGTTCCCTCAGCCTCTCCTCACACATCATATGCCCCAGTCCCTGAACCGTTTTCACAGCTCTCTGCTGGACTCTCTCCAACTTGTCCACATCCTTTCTGTAGTGGTGGGCCCAAAACTGGACATACTCAAGGTGTGGCCTCACTAGTGCAGAATAGAGGGAAATAAATCGCGTCCTTCAATCTGCTGGCAACACTCCTACTAATGCAGCCTAGCACGCTGTTAGTCTTCTTGGCAACAAGGGCACACTGCTAACTCGTATCCATCTTACTGTCCACTATAACCTCCATGTCCTTTTCTGCAGAGCTGCTGCTTAGCCAGTCAGCCCCCAGCTTGTACTGGTGTATGGGATTCTTCTGTGCGAAGTGCAGGACTTTGTACTTGTCCTTGTTGAACTTTGTGAGATTTGAAAAACTGAAAAACATCTGAAAAACTGGCAGCTGATGCAGGACATCCGCATCCTTATTTACTGCTTGGTCATGTTATGTTTGCAGGTAGGAAACCTTACTGGACTACCACTCCTCATAGACAACTATATTCCCCCCTTGGAGGGATTACCTATGTTTATCCTTCGTTTGGCTACAGAGGTATGTTGCTTTTCAACTTTTAACTAAAGCTAATTAGTTGAAGATGCTGCTGTTTGCTTTCCTTTGTCACTTATCAAGAAGTGGCATTTATAGATGTACTCTGAAATCCTGACTCGTAAGAAGGAACAAAATAATGCAACCCATAAGAAACTTGGCAAAAGTTGATGTGGAAAGAAGACTGGATTTGAGAGTTTGGGAGTATCAAACCCTGTTTAGATAGAAGTGGTAGTTTCGTTTGCTTTGTTCTGGTGTCAAATCATATAAAAGAAGAAAAGAAAAAGCCTTTTATAAATATACTCGACTCCATGCTGTAGTGGAATTATTCCAAACCTTCATGTTCTAGTGGCAAAAATGGGTTTAAAGACACATTTCTCTTCCAAAAGGAAAAATAAAAACTTACCTGTTAAGCCACAGATGGCTAAAAGCACAATACAAAAACACATCAAGATTATCTATGGAGCGTATTTTCTTATGGAGTGTGCGCATCCTTGCTTTTTTATATATCCTAATTTTGTAGCACCACATGGTGTGAACAGCAGTTTATTTTGATGATTTTTAATTAACAATTAGGACCTTCTTAATTTTGCTCTTTGGTAAGGGCCAGCAATGTTCTTGCAAAATAGCATTCTAGCTCTTATATAAACTGAATAGCTCTTATTTTCTCTTGTAACAGGTAAACTGGGATGAAGAGAGAGAATGTTTTGGAAGTCTCAGCAAGGAGTTAGCCATGTTTTACTCTATTAGAAAGCAATATATGCTGGATGAATCTAACCTAACTAGTTCACAGGTACAGTAACATGGTGTAACAGCACATAATTTAGTTACAGAAAGAGGTAATAAGTATTAAATGATAAACCTATTTAAAAAAAAAGGCTTCTACCTCTAGACTTTAGAATCAGATGGACTGAGAAATATTGCCAGCAGAGTATTGAAAGAATGGATGTTTCCAAAGAAGACAAAAAGGTGAAGACTTGAGTCATTAATTCAAGGCATGTTTCCAGAAATGTTCAATTTAAGTTGTTTGGAGATGTTTTTGCATGCTTATCTAACTTCTTTGGCAAACACATTGGAATTTAGTAAGCCGCTATGTGAGTTCACATCCTGAGCTGTGCAAGCAAGAGTTATATGCATTAAACTTTTATCTTTTACTGAAAACATTAAGGCCTGGCCAGGAAAAAGTGTGGGTTACCTCTAGTTGCCAGTTTTTACAGCCAAATGCTTGCAGGAAGCTTTTTAATAATGTTCAAGCCCTGATGCCCTCCCCCAAGTATTTTAGAACTGGGTGGTGAGTTGTTGTAGGTCACAGTGTTCTAATTACTCACTTACCTTCCTATATGAGCTAATACTGAAGAATAAAACTAGGTCTCTTTAATAACTGGAACAATTTGGTTTTTGAAAAAAAAAACAAGCTTTACAAGTGTAGATTTTTGGCAAAAAATGTAATAGTTCCGTCTTTAATGTCTTTCAGAATGAAGACCTTGATTCAAGTTCAAAAACATGGAAATGGACCGTGGAACATATTGTTTACAAAGCTTTAAGGAGCCATCTTTTACCTCCTAAACACTTCACAGAAGATGGCAACATTTTGCAGCTTGCTAATCTACCAGACCTATATAGGGTTTTTGAGAGATGTTGAATGGATTATTTTATAGCCTGTTTTTTCTTAGCAGGAGATAAAGCTGGACTCTCTCAAAAGCTTTATAAGTAGTGGGGGTAAATTTTCCGCTTTAGTTTGAATATAGCTTTATTTTTTAAACTAACTTAACAGACACTTCTGTACTGTAGCTTTTCAGGAACCATACAAATGCAGCTGCTGTCTCCCAAAATTAGAGCAAATTATTTTCATCCTAAAGGAACAAAGAAGGGTGACTGTATAATAAATCTCTAACACTCAATCTTAGAAGTAATCAAGAGGCAAGAGTTGGCCTGGTTCTAACTGAAGAAGGATTAAGTCATTCGTTAGCCAAGTAGCTATATATTGCATACAAGATTGCTAGAACTTCAAGGGTTGATCTATGATAGCATTACTGCTACACTCAAACTTTTTTTAGTTACAGATGTTGCCTTCAGGGGGGGGGGGAACTATTTAGCCCAAATTTAAAAACAAACCCAAAAGTAAAGTGTGCTGTTTCAAAATCTTCAAAAAGATTAAGGTATGAAACAGCAGCATGTATTCTTATCATGTGATAACTGAATTTAGAACCCATAGACTTGAGGAACAAGTTTAGAATTTAAAGGAAGATGCCAAACACTTATTCTGGTCAGTAAAGTGTCCATTTAATAAGTTCATCAGCCACATTTTCCATACCCTCCTCCCACCCTAAAATTTAAATCCACACTTAAGCAGCAGATGATACAGTTTTACAATGTACAACAAAAGAACTCGTAGAGGTTGATGTCCCTCCTGTTATATCAAGAATTTCAGGGCTTATATTTGACAAAAATCTAGAATGCAAATGTACCATCACCCATGCAAAAAAGCAAGTTTTATATACAGTCCCTATTTTTTTCTTATAAATTTAAATATTATACAAAAATGCATCTTTCCATCAAAATGTATAAAGTTTAGTGAACAGAGAGCTCAAAATGTACCTTAAAATAAAAGTTATCTGATTTCAAAGGTTATTTTGACAATCTAACATAACTGAAGTCTAAATTGCACCATATAGAAGGCACTTGTGCTGTGTGATGTCTTGAGCAAATATATTTGTTAGTTTAATAAACAGTGTCCTCTTGAAGTCATGCAGTTGTCTCCAAGCATCATTAAAGCAGCTGAAATAAGGATTGTGAGTAAACTTGATTCCACAGTTGTGAAAACATATTTTCTAGCAATAAGTCAATCATACAGCATTGTGCTCCAGATGACTCTAAAGTCAAACTGGTAAAGAAAACAAAATCACCATCATTCACATGGGAACTGGAACTATTTTTCATTCTCTCATAAGTTACAAAGTATGCCACTTAATTAGGAAACTAAAATATCACTGAACAGTTCAGTGTTCAAAAGTTTGTGCCAATGAAAGTCTGTATTAAAAACAAACTAAGGGCTAGTTATTTCAAGGAGCAGTGCACATTTAAAAAAGAAGTCTTCTCTACTGTTGAGAGAGAAGAGCAGTCCTATTAGCCTTCATCTTTTCCAACCGCTTCATCAAGTGGCTATTGGTCATCTCCATCTCTTCCATCTTATCCAGTGCTGTCCTTAACTAAAATACAAACAAATGTTTCATTCAGTTTTAGAGTGCTGTCTTGTGAATAGCAGGAATTAAAATTCTAAAAGGAGCTTTGATGTTAGGATCATAACCTTATTTCCTCTTAACTTTTTTTTAAAGGCTTTGCTATAGCTTAGAAATACTTAGAGACTAGATGAAATTTGCTTTAAAATTAAGACTGTTTGTGGCTTCCTGAGCTGGAAAATAAGATTTCTCTGAAACAGGAAGAGTGTAAGGACCCTGAGTCATTCCAGGACCAACCAGAAGACAGGTTATCAGTGCACTGAGGACAAGAAAGTTTCTCCCAGTTTGCTGAGCAGTTGCGATTTGGTATCCAAGAAGCAAAGATGGCAACAATGTAAACAGACAAAACCTGCTCAAGAAATCAACACTGATCCAATTTGTTAGAACTTCCAAAGACTTAGGGGAAAAAGTTAAAGGAGGAGAAACTGCTAAAAAACAAGAATGTTGTGAGCCGAGACAATTACCATTATTCATGGCCTGCAGAACATTTTGCCAGCTGCAGTCAGAAAGGAACTGGGCTTGGAATATAATGAAGTGCTCACAGATGACTAATGAAAGGTTCATGCAAAATATCATACATAAACAGCCATTTTTATTCCTTACCCTCTTTTAGAAATACATGGACTGCAATAGAATTACTGCCATAACAGCTGCACAGATTAAACATTCAAGCTTTTAGTTTTATTTATAAAGACTCGATTTAGTTTCCTTTGAAATGAGAAGGAATTTACTACCTCTCGTTGAAGTTTCCTTTTTTCTGCTTTGAGTTCATCTTCTACTTTTTCTGCATTCTCTGCTGCAGTTTTGTATCTCATAACCTGTCCTTCAAGTCTTCCAATCTGTAAAACCAAACAAAACCACATATGTAAAAAATACTGCTTTTCAGTTGGTGAGCACATCCTTCACCATAAGGCCTAGCCTTCTTCCTCCCCTCTATGGCAGTTCTTACATTAACTGTACTACTCAGCAAAGGAAAGAAGAGAGACTGTGAACATGAAGCAACAGCTGTAACTAAAAAGAAAAGGAAAATGAGTTTAGAGAATTAACCGATATTAACACAAGAGAGCAATAAGGTAGAGATCCCACTGCGTCTCTCTCTCCATGGTGAGATAATAGAATATGAAGCAGAAGACAATGGAAATCAGAGCAGATTAGCAGATGCATGACTAACAGATCCAGGGAGGTGATGCTTCCCTTCTATGCAGCACTAGTCAGGCCGCAGTTGGAGTACTGTACCCACTTTTGGGTGCCGCACCTCAAGAGGGATGTGGAGAATCTTGAGAGGGTTCAGAGGAGGGCCACTTGTTATAGTCAAAGGCCTGCAGGCAAGGCCCTGTGAAGAGAGACTGAGGGACCTGGATCTCTTCAGCCTGCACAAGAGAAAGCTGAGAGGTGATCTGGTGGCTGCCTATAAATTCATCAGGGGAAGGCAGCAGGGAATAGGAGATGCTCTATTTACTAGGGCACCCCCTGGAGTAAGTAACTAGGAACAATGGCCACAAATTGACAGAGAGCAGATTCAGGTTGGACATTAGAAGGAACTTCTTCACGGTAAGGGTTGCCAGAATCTGGAAAGGGCTTCCAAGGGAGGTGGTGCTCTCCCCTACCATCAGGGTCTTCAAAAGAAGACTGGACAAGCACCTAGCTGGGGTCATCTAACTGCAGCGCTCTTTCCTGCCCAGGGCAGGGGGCTGGACTCGATGACCTACTGAGGTCCCTTCTGACCCTAACATCTATGAAGCACTGGACACTGGGAACCTCAGTGGACTGAAAAAGGAAGAAAATGAAGGAGAAGATAGTGGAAAATGAAGAGACAGGGATAGGTGAACTGGAGGGAAAGATGCTAGAAATTGAAAACAGACCTGGAAAACAGAAAATCAGATGAAGTACATGGAGATGAGAGATAGTAAGCAAACTGAAAGAAATGAAATTTGACATTCATATCAGACCATAAACTGAAAGGGACCTTGGACCAAAGAAGAGATCAATAATAAGGGGGACCACAAGCCAAAAATAATTAGGAGATAGCAGCTTTGAAACATGCTTGCCTCCCTGTATTTACAATACAAGAATTATGACCTGCTAATGTTGCATTTGACTGAAACCAAGTGTGTGCCATAGGGAGAATAAGTCACGAAGGCTAAAGACAGACATTTAAAAAGCCTGAGCCTGAACTGATTCAATCTTTGCAGGTTAGTTTAACCTGGCTAGGCTGAATCAGTGTGTAACTGTGCAGACATCCCAGAAACATGGGCACATGCCTGCAGAGGTTCAGGGTAGACGCTGAGGGGCGCTAGAGCAGCCCTCTCTTCCCTTCCCCAGGGCTGAGCTGAGGGGAGACGTGGCCAGGCCCCAGCAGGACACCCTGATTAGGGAGGGGTTCCCCACCTTCTGACCAGCCCAGCAGGGAATTGATAACACAGTGTTTATCACCCCTAACTCAGTGTTTATCAGAAAACAAAGGGACATTACCAGCTACCTGTTGAGTCTGCCTTTGTCCTGTCTGCCACAGCATGGACTGTAGCCAGCATGTGGTCTGCTAGCTAATACGGAGAGGTGTTTGTGTAAGGGAGAAGGGAGCGGCGGGGAGCAAAAGGAAGCAAGGCAGATGTCTGCAGTCTCTGCCAGAGCTCCAACCAGGTGCAAAGGGGAGGGGCCAGCTCTCCTGTGGAGCAGAGAACCCTGCCCAGCTCAGAAAACATGCCAGGGGAGTCTGATTTAACTTAAGGAAGGAGTCTGGGACAGACGTATAAACTGGTTTGGACCATTTTCAAACCAGTTTATCTGCACTGAACATCTGATCTGTTACAGTTTTAAACCAGGTTCTGATCACTTAAGCTGATTTGTGTGTAATGTCTGTCCCTACCCTTACAGAATAACGTGTGAAACAATTATTTACAATGTTGCTGAACGAACATACATACCAGTTCACTCTCAGAATTTTGCTGTGTTCTTTAAAAAATATACCTAGCTACCTATCAGATAATTCTAAAAGTGAATTTCAGACTCTTTTCCTCCTCACAGGTCCATGTAAATTAACTAACTAACTAACTATCTAACTATCTCCGTTAATTAAGGTAGTTTTTTGCATGGATACTATTTTGAGACAAACATGTACACAGTAAAAATCTTTTGATTTTCTAAAATACAGTGCATGTATTATTGAATCCAAAATGTTAACCTCTATATTTTCTTTTGTGACTAGTTACAAAGAGCTGTTAGCTGCAAGAAAAAAGGTAATACAAGTCTGAACATAATGCAGCTGGCAAAGACAATATGGTGAAGCATAGAACAGGTGCAGAATAAAACTGGATTTAATATAATCTAAGAAATCAATTTACAGACCATATTATACACAATGAGTCTTTTAGACCTACTTAAATATTTTGTAAAAGAACTCTAAAGTAAGATATACTTACATTTTGTTCCATGGTCGTTATATCTTGTTCAGCTTTTGAAAGCTTAAATTTGTATTCACTTATTTGTCTGTTGGCATCTCCTACATAAAATCAAATATAAAGGTATTTCTTAAAGGGCCAAGTGTCTCTAACGGGCCATTTCTATTTTAGTTCAAAATTCATTTAAAATTACTTCATTGAGAATATAGAATTCTTCCAGTTGGGTATATTTTCTTTTTAAATTTCTTTCTCTGGGAGACTTAAAAAGCCACCCATATCACACAGACTTTCTATACCAGGGGTTCTCAGCCTTTTTCTGAGCCCCACCCCCAGCATGCTATAAAAACTCCGTGGCCCACCTGTGCCAGAGAACTGCCTGGCATCCCAGCACCACCCACACAGCTCAGGGTGCAGCAGGCGGGGGTTGGCAGCAGGGAGCCCCAGGGCTCCACTCACTTGAGCAGCAGCAGTATGGAGCCTCACCCGCCCACTTGCAGCAGCACCACCCGCAAGATAGAGGTTGTGGGGACAGCAGGTCACGCTTGCCCCTGCCCCTTCCTTGGGACTCGCCTCAGACCTGGGGGACCAAGGCAGCCCATGCCAGGCTGGGCCAGGCAGACCCCCTGAAACCTGCTCATGCCCCCACAAGTTGAGAACCACTGGCCTACATGCTGCTATTGCCATTGCTGAGATGCTCTTAAAAGCTGGCTTTGAGGATCAAAAAATTAAACAAAAAATGTTCTAGGAAAGGAAAAGAAGGGAAAAATGACATGAGCCAAGTAATTAAAAATGGTGATGTCCTGTATCATTGTCTAAATAATGAAGTTTTATAAATATTTGCATTAGATCCTGACAAAGCTGTCAATTAAGAAAAAATAGCTTGCTAGAAATACTGAATACAAACCTTTTATTAGCTAACAAGGAATGCAATGAGAGGAAAGCAAAAAGAATTTAAATGCTGCATTTGATATTGCTAACACTGTTTTCAAAACAACTAGACTATTCAAGTAAGCTAACAAATAAAAGGAAAGAGCCTATAAAAGTCACAATATTTTCAACAAAATTAGGTAAGTGATCAACCAAGGGCAAGGTAAGATGCTTGCTCTTTAAATATATACAAAAAGGAAACAAAAGGTTCTTTTCAATATAAATACCTTTATATAACCAAGGTAGACTTACTCTGCATTTCAATTAACTGCAAGTCAGAACCATTCTCTAATCCTGTTATATCTGGATTTGAACCATCACTTTTAGAGTATTTCTGTTGTTCCTCTTCTAATTGCAGCTTCAGCTTTCTAATCTGAAAAGAATATGCTATTTTATTAAATGGTAAGCTTCTAGAAGTACTTCATTAGGATTTTCAAACTGAGTTGACAGTTTAGCTGTATATAGGGAATTACCTCCCCAAAATTTACACTTTACAAATGTTTACAGGGGCTATGGCCAATATCATAGCATGTTTACAGGGACAGCAAAACTGTTTTTAGGTTGTACCCTTTTCTGCTCCTTTAAGTAACAGCTACCAGGATGCTTCCCAGCACACAGCACTCTCAAGCTGCTCTACTTTGTCTTATGTGTCAGAACCCCCCAGGGTTTTTCTACAGCAGTGGTTCCCAACCTTTTTGCCATAACCTGCTGCTGGGAGTGGAGTGTGGCAGCAGTGGCAGCCCAGGGGTGAGGGAGTTCCCAGCACGTGGTGTGGCATTGGCGGCATTGCCCCTGCGCCCCTCATTTGGGTCGCGACCCGAGGTTGGGAACTGCTGTTCTACAGGAATCACTGATCGCTTTTTTGGTGGGAAGAGTATGGAAAAGAGAGGGACAATGTACGAGACAAAAATCACTATCGTGGCTAACTCCACAGAATTCCCCTGCGGCTTTGTGGGATCACATGGTTTGATTCACATGAACAGGAATTTGCAGTTTTTACTATCATACTCCTAACCAGTTTAGGATCAACCTTTAGTAAGTGTATTGTTAACATTCTATCCCATATCTGGCTTGAGTTAATTTACTTAATTTTAAATTAAATAGTAAAAATAAGATATTTTGTATTTTGCTAAAAAGGCTGACAAAATGGCTTGATTTGTGCCTTGTGCATTAGTCTGCCACACTGGTCAGTGGTTATCAGTGAGCCTCTAAATTAGAAGCTAACTAACTAATGTGTGGGTAACATTCTACAGTACACATGAGTTACAGGGGACTGCCCAGAGATGCCAGCAGCCATGCCAGCAGCAAGGGGGGAAGTGGGGTGGTGACCGCCCGCAGAAGCTGGCAGCGGCTTCGACGGCTGCCAGTCTCAGGGGGGCACAGTCACTGGTACACTGCATCCTGTGCAGGAAGCAACCTGCCTAAAGCCGCACAGCATATTCAACAATGATTCATTTTAACTGCATTAAGAGCCAATAATTAATTTTGTAAAGTTATTTTTTCATTTAAACAACTGTAGTTACCACAGGAATATTTTGGGTTGATGAACCGGAAGAATTACAACACAAAGGACTTTTTTGTGGATGATATCTTTTATTGCAGGGTTTCTCAACCTTTTAAATAGCAAGTACCCCCAAACCTCTGAAAAGTTTAATAAGCACCCCAACACTCAATTTTCCAGGGGATTTTATATTTACAGACTAATGTGTGCTATATGTTGGCAGAAGGGCTGTGTATATAAGGCTGTGATATGACAGATGTCTGATCTGGTGTGGATAGGGTTGCCACCTTTTACACCAGGGGTGCACAAACTCAAGTATGTACCTGGGCTAGAGGTGATGTTGCCCAAAACTAGGAGGGCTGAACCCAAATTATTACTAGGGAATTTAATTTTTTTGCCATAGTCTTGAGAGGAAAATAGGGTAAGAGAGAGCAAGAGAGAGAGCTACCCCCTGCTTGTGTCTTGCATACCCCCAGGGGTATGCATACCAGAGGTTGAGAAACTATGTTTTACAGGACCAAGTGTATGGTTGGGGACAGGACTTTGACCAGTGCATTCTTCATCAGGTCAGGAACCTGGAAGAAAAAGTTACCCACAAAAAGCTGTCCCTCACAACATGGTCCACTAAAGAAAATTTTGAGAGTGCCTGGGAAGTGATGAGCCAAATTATGTTAGACTGGCAATTTGACAACTTCTATTTTGCCTCCCCCCTTTCATAAAAAGGAAAGAAAGATGATCACTGATCAGAAATGGTCTATAAGATTAGACTGCAAAAGAGTCAGTCCTGCTATTTACACACACACACTTCCAATTGGGACTATTTGAAGTAATTATAGTGGAGACACCCTTGAAGAAACTATTACACAAGATCAAGATTATGCTGATCAGGACATTCTAGGGGAAAAGCCTGATAGTTCCTGGTAGATAGCCAGCACTTTTCTTAAAGATGTTAGTTTGTTTTGGGTTTTTTTAACTTAATGCTGAGTTGGAGGCACTTTACTGATAGCAAACTAAAATACTTTCATATGCATGCCCTCTTTTCTTTTCTTAAGGTGAGATTGCCTTTATAGAATATTCATTAAAAAAATTAGTTTTACCTGTGACAATAGTTCTTCTTTTTCTTCAGCCAGTTTTCGTAGCCGAACATCTAGAAGAATTAGAGCTCAATTAGCAATCTATACTGAGTTTAAATTGGAAATTTATTGTTTGACATTTTATTTTCATTAAGCTCAAAAATAAAAATATTTTTTTCACACATAAAACCTATAAATGTAAGGACATGCTGAAATTTAAGCCCTAATTTCCTGTTGGTTTATTGCAGTAAGTTAATTAGTAAAAGTTAGTGTGAATACATAAGTGACAGCAATGTACTATTCAAATGTATTTTTGGTAAGTGGTAAAAAGGTAATTTCCCTCACTTTAACATATAAAAGATTTAACAGCAATAAAGAACTCCAAGCCTCATTCCTAGCAGTTAATGAATGGCTGAGGATCAATTGGCAATAATTTCTATGAATAATGGAAAAGAAACTTTTTCAACATGCATGTTATGCATACCCTGTAAGTACATAGGAATATTTCCTTTTATATTGAGTGATGGAAAACACTGAATTATGTGGCCTGTATAACATGTTTTTAAAGAGATGCTTAACTGGCTTAGCAGGGAAGTAACTCTTCAATAAACTAAATCACAAAAAGGAAGCTTATAAGAAGTGAAAACTTGGACAAATAACTAGAAAAGAATATAAGAGCACTGTTTGGGCATACAGGGGTAGAGTCAGGAAGGCCAAAGCGCAACTGGATTTTGAGCTAGCAAGGGATATAAAGTATGCTGGTAGCAAGAGGAGGATCAGAGAAAGTGTGGGTCCCTTACTGAATGGGGGAGGGAACCTTGTGACAGAGAATGCAGAAACGGCTGAAGTGCTCAATGCCTATTTTGCCTCAGTCTTCACAGGCAAGGTCAGCTCCTATACTACTGCACTGGGCAGCACAGTTTAGGGAGGATGAGCAGCCAACAGTGGCAAAAGAACGTTAGGGACTATTTAGAGAAGCTGGACATATACAAGTCCATGGGGCCGGATGGGATGCACCTGAGGGTGCTGAGGGAGTTGGCTGATGTGACTGCAGAGCCACTGGCTATCATCTTTGAAAACTCATGGCAATCAGGAGAGGTCCTGGATGATTGGAAAAGGGCAAACAGCTGCCCATATTTAAGAAAGGAAAGGAGGAGGATCCAGGGAACAACAGACCAGTCAGCCTCACCTCAGTCCCTGGAAAAATCATGGAGAAGATCCTCAAGGAATCCATTTCTAAGCACTTGGGGGAGAAAGAGGTGATTAGGAAGAGTCAGCATGAATTCACCAGGGGCAAGTCATGCCTGATCAACCTGATTGTCTTCTATGATGAGATGACTGACTCTGTGGATGCAGGGAGACCAGTGCATGTGATATACTTTGATTTTAGCAAAGCTTTGGATATGGTCTTCCACAACATTTCTCACAGGCAAGCTAGGGAAGTATGGATGAATGGACTATAAAGTGGATAGAAAACTAGCTGGAGCATTGGGATCAGAGAATAGTAATCATTGGCTTGATGTCTAATTGGCAGCCAGTACCAAATGGAGCACCCCAGGGGTTGGTCCTGGGGCCAGTTTTGTTCAATGTCTTCATCAGCAACTTGGAAGATGGCAAAGAATACACCCTCAGCAAGTTTGCAGATGACACCAAGCTGGGGGGGTGTAGTAGATACACTGGAGGTTAGGGCTAGGATAGACAAATTGGAGAATTGGGTCAAAAGAAATCTCATGAGGTTCAACAAGGACAAGTGCAAAGTCCTGCACTTGGGACGGAACAATCCCATGTACCAACTGGGGACTGAGTGGCTGGGCAACAGCTCTGCAGAAAAGGACCTGGGGGTTATAGTGGACAATAAGCTGAGTATGAGCCAGCAGTGTGCCCTTGTTGCCAAGAAGACTAATGGCATACTGGGCTGCATTGGTAGGAGTGTTGCCAGTAGGACAGACCCAAGGGAGGCACCACTATGCCTAGGGTCAAGGATGACCTAGTTAGGGAACTTTTGGAGGGCTGGACGTGTTTAAATTAGTAGATCCAGGTGCTCTTCACCCAAGGGTGCTGAGGGAATTAGCAGCGGTCATAGCGGGGCCCCTGGCACGGCTCTACAAGTGCTCATGGAGCACTGGCCAGGTACCAGAGGATTGGAAAAGGGCCAATCTGGTCCCCATTTACAAGAATGGAGAAAGGAGGACCCTGGCAATTACAGGCCAGTCAGTCTTACCTCAGTCCTTGGGAAGACCTTTGAGAAAATTATCAAGGAGCACATCTGCAAAGGCCCAGCAGGGGAGGTAATGCTCAGGAGCAACCAATATGGGTTCATTGAGGGCAGGACCTGCCTGACTAACCTGGTTTCTTTTTATGATCAGGTCACAAAGTCCCTGGACGAAGGTGTCGGGGTGGATGTCGTGTTCCTGGACTTTAAGAAGGCTTTTGACACGGTTTCCCACCACATTCTTGTTTAAAACCTTGGTGACTGTGGCATCGATGCCTACACAGTCAGATGGGTGGCAAACTGGCTAGATGGTCGCACCCAGAGAGTGGTTGTGGATGGGTCGTTTTCGACCTGGAGGGACGTAGGCAGTAGAGTCCCCCAGGACTCGGTCCTGGGGCCTGTACTGGTCAACATCTTTATTAGTGATCTGGATGTGGAATGCACACTGTCCAAATTCGCTGACAACACCAAGTTGTGGGGCGAGGTAGGCATGCTGGAGGGGAGGGACAGAATCCAGCTAGATCTAGACAGGTTATGGAGGTGGGCGGATGAGAATAGGATGGAATTCAATGCAGCCAAGTGCAAGGTACTGCATCTAGGGAGAAGAAAGCAGCAACACACCTATAGGCTGGGAAACACCCTTCCTGTCAACACGGTGGCAGAGAGGGATCTTGGAGTCATTGCTGACTCCAGGATGAACATGAGCTGCCAATGCGAGGAAGTGGTCAGTAAGGCTAACTGCACCTTATCGTGCATCCACGAATGCATCACAAGCAGGTCCAGGGAGGTGATCCTTCCCGTCTACGCAGCATTGGTCAGGCCCCAGATGGAGTACTGCGTCCAGTTCTGGGTGCTGCACTTCAAGAGGGATGTGGCTAGCATTGAGAGGGGCCAAAAGAGGGCCTCTCGTATGGTCGAGGGGCAGCGGGGCAGGCCCTACGAGGAAAGGCTAAAGGGCCTGAACCCATTCAGCCTCCACAAGAGAAGGCTGAGAGGGGATCTGGTGGCCATTTACAAACTCACTGGGGGGGCCAGTGAGAATTGAGGGAGGCTCTGTTCTCCCAGGCACCACCCGGGGTTACTAGGAATAACGGCCACAAATTGTTAGAGAGAAGGTTCAGGCTGAACATCAGGAGGCACTGCTTTACAGTTAGGGCTGCCAGGCTCTGGAATGGGCTCCCAAGTGAGGTAGTATTCTCTCTTACTTTGCGGGTCTTCAAGAGAAGGCTGGACAGATATTTGGCTGGGGTGATATGACTGGGGCACCCATTCCTGCCTGGGGCAGGGGGCTGGACTAGATGATCTGTTTAGGTCCCTTCCAACCCCAAGCACTATGAAACTAGGTCAAGGGAAGTGATTATTCCTCTCTACTTAGCACTGGTGAGGCCACATCTAGAGTTCTGTGTTCAGTTTTGGGCACCCCACTACAAAAAGGATGCGGATAAATTGGACAGAGTCCAGCAGAGGGCAACAAAAATGGTGAGTGGGCTGGGTGACATGACTTGTAAGGAAAGGCCAAGGGAACTGGTCTTATTTAGTCTAGAGAAGAGGACACAGAGGGGATTTAATAGCCACCTTCAATTACCTGAAGGGGGGTTCAAAAGAGGATAATTAACATTGTATTTGCTTCAGTTTTCAGCTTTAATATACTGGGTTTTAATAATTATTTACAATTTCTATGCTGGATGGAGCTAGCCTGTTCTCAGTGGTGGTAGATGACAGAACAAGGAACAATGGTCTCAAGTTGCAGCAAGAGAAGTTTAGGTTAGATATTAGGAAGAATTTTCTCACTAGGAGGGTAGTAAAACACTGGAACAGGTTACCCAGAGAGGTGGTGGAATCTCCATCCTTGGAGATTTTTAGGACAAAACAGGATCTACTAAAAACTTTAAAAGAAAATGTGTGAAGCATGTGTTTACCTAGTGGTCCTTCTCCTGCAGTTTCCAAGACATGAGCTGCTTCTTGTGATATAACAGTTATTGCACCAACCACTGGTTCATGGTTTACATCACCATTTGGAGTGCCATCTGGGATTATAACTAATCCATGTTTCTGCAAAACACAAACAAACAAAATATACCCATACAAAAGAAACATTAAAATATAGTTGGATAGAAAGGTATTTCCAGAAGAGTTTTCAGCCAGATTGAAACAATTACACTAAAGTACACTATTTAATTTATTTGATGGCTGAGTTTTTTGGCATGTACAGGAGTACTAATATGCTTTCTCTTATGTTGACTGTCATTTCATCCCACATTCCTGTGCTTATATTACTGTATGACTGCTACTAACATACCTCTCCTCTCTTCATTGTTTCCTTCATGTCAGTCAACTCATCTCTGAGCTCATCTCGCTCATTCTTAATGCAGTCAAAGTATTCTTTCTGTCTTTCTAGAGCCTGGGTACAGGCAGGTAGCAAGAAAAAGAATGGGATAGAGAAAAAGCATGTGATAGACAACAGAGAGAATTCTTATACAAATAAATGCAAACTGTTGAATAAAAGAAAGAAACAGAGAGGGGATTATAAACCTGTACAACTCTACTGACTACCTTTTACAAGAGTCTAATATAATCCAACCCCCTAACCTATGCCAAAAATAAACAACATTCTTCATTCTACCATTCTTCTGCAGAGTATTTAACTCACTGAACTGTCTTATAAAACCCTCAAAATAAGAACACCTTTACTGATAACGTATTTTGACAAACATTTTGGATATATTTAATACTCATTTATGACTTCAAGAGAAGTTTCTATGTCACAATCCAAATGCATGATTATTTACTAAAAACTGCATGCTGCTGCTAAATTGGGCAAACTACTCCAATGTTCTCCATACTACTCCATGCCCTTCTCAAAATCAGCTGGTACAGATATTAGAATACCACATCTATAATACTAAGGCAACCTGTACAGGGCCACAGAGCAGGCAGGAGTCTTTGTCTTGTGTATCTGCTTATAAATACTTATGTCTATTATTCGCATGAATATTTTAGGCACTCAGTTACTGACAGACACTTTTTTTTTTTTTTTTAAGTGACACTAATCAGTATTTCAGTACAAAAAGAATCACAACCAAACACAAAACATTTACATAATAGTCTCTCACAACTATATTACAGCTGTAATCCAGAGCTACATCAGCCATGCTCAACTGATTAGACAGCTTCCCAATGCTCCATTCAGATTCATCATGGCACATATAACAAGTAATCCTCAATATGACAACTGCACAAATGTAAACATATGTTTACATGACAAGAAAACTTACCTAATAAACACTGTGGCATGTACATGTTTAGTAATAGACTGATATCAAATATGAAAGAAAAATACTTAACATTGTATTTGCTTCAGTTTTCAGCTTTAATTAACTGGATTTTAATGATCATTTACAATTTCTATGCTGAGTGCAACTTTTTAATACAGTATTCTGCTAATTTATTTCAGCAGAAAAAAATTCAAACCTGTACGTGTACTTGATAAGCGCTCTGAAAAGATGACTGTAAAATTTAAACACAGCATACTAGAAGACCTCTAGGAACCCTTTGGTTTTCAGCTTTCATTTCATAGTTACTTATTCTTATTAATCGACTGGGTTTTTTGACACTTGTTAGGGAAAACAAGATTAAAAACCCAATTACACTTACTTTAAAATATATTTTAGGCAAGGCTTGGGGAAAAAAAATCTACCTGATACCTACTAGATATAGTGCAAAGTATATGTAGCTCTGGCTGTACCCAAAGCATTGAAATTGGCTAAAAGGTATGACAACTGGTTAGATGAATCCTACAGTCCAGTCTTAATACAGAAAATGCAGTATTCACAATCAATTTCTTAAAGCATAAAATTGTAAATGTATCTGTCATACTCATTCTACATATGAAATCTTCTAATATGGAACGGAACTCACTGATTTCTTACAATGAGGATTTTTCATTTATTCAGAAATACCAGACTACGAAGAGTATAAATGGCTAAAATATAAGTGGCCTTCATATCCATAGACTATTAAAAGTCCTATGGAACACTGAAATATACCAGTCTATTTCTAAATTCATACACCCTTCTCCACCATATTTATTGCATACCCCCATTTTTTTATCTTTCCAATTAATTGTCTCCTGGAGGTCATACACCTCTCTGGTTAAGCAGTCTACTTTCTGCTGCATGCGTTGATTCTCCTGCAGTACATGAGGAAAGAAAGAATAAAAGGAAAGACAGAAAAGGAAAAGTAAGAGATAAAGAAAATTTAGTAGAAAAAAAAATGAAAGAAAAGGTTTTTAAGAATAAAATTTAAAAACAGATATGGCATCTAAGGCTAAAACTAGTTTTTCCCTTTTTTGAATCATACAAGAATATTGTAACTAACTTTACTTATACAGCAACATTATGCAAGAGAACATAATATATAATTTCCACTGCTGATGATTTTAAAATGAGCATGCAGTTCCAAATGCTATCTGAAAGTAATATTCTTGATGGCATAAATGTATAGTAACATTCCTTATAATTACTTTTATGGTAGCTCTGCAGCAGAGACTGACAATTATCATATGAAATTAAACTTTAACATTTCACTTGAAATTGTATAAATTATTGCAATGCATTAAAAATGCTTACAGCCACAAAATTAATTTAATTAAATTGTAGCATCTAGGCAGGCAGTTTAGAAATCGGGTTAAAATATGATTTTCAAGCCCCCAAGTTGCTTGCTTATCCTTGCAGTCTCATCAATTTACCCCAATAGCAAAAGGTACACATATTAGAAACTTTCAAAAACTGAATGGAAGTAAAAATATTACCTACAGAAAACTGAGACCAAAGTTTGCTTCAGTGAGAAATGTGTATTTTAACTGCATTCCTTTGAGAAAGTGTGCTCATCTCAACCAAACCGATTTGATGGTTATTATACGGAAAATAGAATGAGCACACAAATGTTCTTTTATGTAATATAATTAACGTACTCAGAATCTGGGTGTTGGTATTTCTAACCAGGTCTAACTCTTCTGTACCCTATTTAGAATCATCACACTGTACAATTTGGTGATTTTTAGCAGAAAAACTTACAAAGGCGAGAAACTGTGCATGTTAAAGCACTGAATACAACATATAAAAGTTTCAATATTAGTTTATAAAATAAATGCATTAGAAAAATCTGTAACAAATCTATTACATGTGCCCAACAAAACAAATCACTACAAACTGCTTAAGAACTTACAGTAAATGTTTATATACCTGGTTTTTAATGCATGTTTTATTACCTCAAACTTTATGAAATGAAAAAGCAAGTGTCTGGAAAATTAGAAAGAAGAAGAGTGTCTAAGAAGAAATGTTTGCCACTTAGTTTTAAGTAATATACTAGTACATCCAGATGTGACTTCAGTATTTTTAGCATTTTTTGGTTGGTCTGCTAAAATTTTCTTTTAGCCCTCTTGCCCACAATCTGTTCCTGTCTGTTATGATAACAAAGCTACATACGAGCTAGATCCTAATTCACAGATTAATGCTAAATGTCAGAGAAAGTTAGAAAATGTATGAGTTGGCTTTGCCTTCAGTTTTTGGTCCAATATACCACAATGCCTCTTCAATTAATCAAATGCCCCTTGGGCTAGCCAGAGGTCACACTGCATGCTTGCATTTTGTTCTTCAGATGACAGAACTGCAGCCCCAGTAGTACCTTCATCACCTCACTAGCCATACCCGATCTAGATTGGGGCTGACAACCTAAAGCCAGATTTGAACCAAACATACCCTTTGGATCTGCCTTGGGGCTTTGGTGTCATTAAGCAGCAGGGGACTTTCCCTGCACTGTACTTCAGTCAGCTGCCTAGAGGTCTGACAGAGGTGAGCTCTACCCATGCAGCCCTGCAGTCAAGAGGCATGGGCTCTGGCAGAGAGGGACTGCAGCACACTGCAGCTAAGTAGCAGGGAGGAGCAGTAGCAGCAGCTCTGAGCTAGGTCATTTTGGCTCCCTGCTGGAAAATGTTGACCCCTAGGCTAGATTGCTCTTACAAGACTTTTGGGTTTCACAGGCCCGAAAAGATAGCCTTGTATAACCATAGCTAGCAGACAAACTAAGGAAAATAACAGTGAAAGCAGCTTTCAAATGTTGTATAAAAATGTTTACATTTTTAAGCATGTCTAAAATGCAGCTAAAAAAATTGGCTTAAACCGTCAAAAAAGATTCCCACAGATTTTAAATGTCAGCACCTGAATATCTTTGATGATATAGGCTTCATCATAGAAAATAAGGATTGGAAGGGACCTCAGGAGGTCATCTAGTCCAACCCTATGCTCAAAGCAGAACCATCCCGAACTACGTCATCCCAAAGGCTTTGCCTAGTCAGGTCTTAACCTCCAAGGATGGGAAGTCCATAACATCTCTGGGTAGCCTGTTCTAATACTCCCCTAGTGAGTAAATTTTTGATAATATCTAACCTAAACTTCCCTTGCTGCAACTTGAGACCATTTCTCCTTGTTCTGTTACCTGCCACTGCTAAGACCAGTCTAGCTCCATCCTCTTTGGAACCACCCTTCAGGTAGCTGAAGGCTGCCCAGTTTCCTCAGCCTCTCCCTCAGAAGTCATGTTCCTCAGCCCCCTACCCATTTTCACTGCTCTCCACTGGACTCTCTCCAATTTGCCCACATCTTTTCTGTAGTGGAGGGTCCAAAACTGGACACAGTACTCCAGATGTAGCCTCACCAGTGCTGAATAGAAGGGACTAATCACTTCTCTCAATCTGATGACAATGCTCCCACTAATGTGGCCCAGTATGCCGTTTGCCTTCTGTGCAACAAGGGTATACAGTTAGCTCACATTTAGCGTACTGTCCACTTTAACTCCCAGGTCCATTTCTGCAGCGGTGCTAGTTAGCCAGTAAGACCCCAGCCTGTACCAGTGCATGGAACTGTTTTGTTCAAAATGCAGGACTTTGCACTTCTTCTTGAATTTCATGAGATTTCTTTTGATCCAATCCTTCAAGTTATCTAGGTCTCCGAATCCTAGCCCTACCCTCCAATGTATCTACTACTCCCCCTCCACCCCCACACTTAATGTCATCCTCAGACTTACTTAGGGTGCACTCCATCCCATCTTCCAGATCACTGATTTTTTTTCCATATGACAAAAATACCATGTCAGAGTCACATTTCACATTGGACAGAGCTAAGCCAGGACTAAGATGGGTTGTGGAGGGCACTGAGGTTTCCAGGGCAACGAAAGACAGGGCATTCTGTAACTATGTGGTTTGCAGTCTGTGAGGGGGTGCCACATTAACAAGCGGCACTTGATTTCAGGCCCATTTAGTGCATGTTATGGCAGAAGTGGCCGTAACTAGTTTACAGTCTATTGAGGTGGACCCAGAAAAGTATGTCTAAATCGAAGTCACGAGGTCTTGTTGAGGTGTTTGGGATGAATGTTTTGAGTCTGCAGTTCTCAGAAGCCCACTGTTCTTCCCATAGTTGCACAGACCAGTCGTCTGAGGAAGAACTTTTGGAAATAGAGTGCAGGTGGGCAATGAGGGGTTTCCCAGTTCAGAGGCACTGCCCAATGAGGGTCTGCACAGATGTGCTAATGTAGGTAGTCATTATGGTCTAGTTCAGCACGGCGAAGGAGGCGGAAGCTTTGCTGCTCGTGGGTGTCAGGAAGAACAATACTGCTGATCAGTGTTACCTATGATGTAGGGGTACAGTGGATGCATCCAGATACAAGTCGCATGCTGTTAAGTGTGCTCTCCACTTTGTGAGTGTGGGCACTTTTGCACCACACTGGGGCACAGTATTCAGCTGTTGAGTATGTCAGTGCCAGGGTGGATGTCTGAAGTATGGTGGGGTTAACTCCCCATTTGAGACCAGCTAGTCAATGGAGAGGTTATTACAAGCTTGTACTTTGGCTGCCAGTTGGGCAAAGTGCATCTTGTGGGTTAGGGTGTGGTCCAGGGTGACTCCAAGGTACTTTTGGGTAGCTTTTGAAAGGGATGGAATTTGTTCCACATCTGACATTCAATGTTGTTTTGGCAAATTTGTTGGCAAGGTGGAAGGTGCTGACAGTCTTTGTGATGTTTAGTTTGAGTCTCCAGCTCTGAAAGTAAGTGCTTATGGTAGTGAGGTCGTTTGTCAGACTTTGCTCCAGATTCTTGAAGTTTTTTCCTGCGATCATTAGGGCTATGTCATCTGTGCATATATATATATATTTTGGGATGTTGTGGGGGAAAGTCTGAGGTGTAGATGTTGAAGAGCAAAGGTGCTAGGACAGATCCCTGAGGCACGCCATTCTTCAGAGGGTGCCTGTTAGATACGTCTTTTCCAATATGAAGAGTGAAGTAACAGTTGACGATGAGTTCTTGCAGAAAGTGGACCATATGTTTGTTGGTGATTTTGTGAAGGAGCTTCAGTGAGGCCTCATTGCCATACTGTGTCACAGGCTGCAGATAAATCTATGAAGACTGCTCCGCACTTCCGCCCTTCTTCAAAAGCTGCCTCTGTGAGGCGGGAGACCTGCTCAGTAGTTGAGCAGTTCTGACGGAAGCCAGCCTGTTCCTCTGGGAGCTGGGGATCAATGATGAGGTATAGGCGATTGTAGAGGACTCTCCATGGGTTTAAATCCCACTGAGAGATGGCCAATTGGTTTGTAGCTACCTGGGTCTTCCGGTGGTTTATTTGGTTTAAGGATGATGACAACTTTCGCACACCACCAGATTTTGGGTGGAAATGGGAGGAAAAAGCATTGGAGCCAGGAGAGAATACAGTCACTAAGGTGGATGAAGAATTCTGGATGGAAGTTGTCTGGGCTTGGGGACTTTTCAGCCTTGAGGGTGCTGATGGCCTGCATCATCTCTTTGAATTTAAAGTTGATGCAGAGATTTGAGTCTACTGAGGAAAGAGTACCAGGCCTCTCTCAATTTTGCATTCACCATGCAGTGGAAATGTCTGTCTGATTTTGAAAATTTCCCATTGTTAAAACATCTGGTGATGTCACTGGCTTTTACTGGAGCTTTTGGGGATTGTCTGGAATTGCCAGTTAAGCACCTGATAGTGGACCAGGCTTTCCTGCTCAAGTGGGCAAAGTTTATGTTTTGGGTGGTTTGGATCTATTTATCTTGTCTGTTTACTAGGTGGTCAAGGAGTGCTGTGACAGCATTATGGATTTCTTCAAGAGTGGCAGCAGATTGATATTAATTGGCTAATTTATTGCATTTGTCATTCCACCCAGGGAGGTAGGATTTTCGAAAGCCTCAAGAAATGTTGTCTTTGGCAGTCTGAATGATTAGAGAGCAGAATGTTTCGTATGTCTTACTGATATCAGGGTTGTTTGGTTCAAGTAGGGAGGTAATGAGTTTAGCAGTCTGTTCTGAATCTATCCCAGTTGTCTTTAGTGGAGTTTCAACGTGGGGTTGCTAAGATTGATGTGAGTTGTATAAGTGCGGGATGCTTAATTAAAGATGGTGCTGCAAATGGGGGAAATTGCTGATTGCTATTCTGATGGGAGGAGAAGTGGGAAAGGTTGTTGCACTTGTGAAGGCCAGGTCAGGGTTGGTATCGGTTTTCCATCTGGTTGAGCAGAAGGAGCCAAGTTGTTTGAAGTCATAGAGCAAGGCAAGTCCTGCTGAAGATGCCCAGGCTACCAGTGCTTTGCCATCTGGAAAGTCATGTTGGTAGCCACACTCCAAGTGCTGACCAACAAAATCTCCAGAGTAAATTGTTGTGTGGGGGTCTACAGGGATGTTAGTGAAGGGAGTTTTAGGTGGTTTATACACATTGACTGTGGTTACCATTGATGAATGCTGCAATCCAAGAGAGTTTGTTGCTGCAGGGAGAAGTGGCTATTAGTCTGGATGTGACACAGGTTTTGGCAAATGTAGTAATGCCATAGAGTGGATGGTAGAGTGCAGCAATCAAGTTGAAACCCAGGATGTGGAGGTTTTTATCGTAAGTAAGCAGTTTCCTGGATTAGGATCCCTATGGCAGAGTGCTATTGGGCCAGCTGCCGGATTATTTAGCACTTGGCTTGAGTCAGGTCCTCACATTAAACTGGATAACTGTTTGAAGAAATCCTCATCCACCTCATCCTACTGGTCTGGTCTATAGCAGACACCCATCATGATGTCACCTTTGTTGCTCTCCCCTCTGACACTAACCAAGAGACTTTCAACAGGTCTATCTCCAGTTTCATAATGGACTCCTGACAAAGTATACATATCTTTTACATAAAGAGGAATCTCCATTTTTTCATAAATTAAGGAAGGATTAGTCCTAACATTCTTTGTTTCACCAACGTAATATAAGAACACTAGGCCAACTATGTATAAGTACAATGCAATATAGGTACTACTAGGCGAACTCTGACAATGATATGTTCGTATGTGAATGAATACACAAATATTATGCAAACCTAATTCAAACAGTATAAAGCTGTCTTTTTAAAACTGGAAAGGAAAAGGAAAAAAAGTTAATTTGTAGCTTGTAGAATGTGGACAATCTGGTTGACTAATATTTGTGGAAATTCCAGTTCCTCAGACGTTCCAATACATGAACACACTTTTCCATACAAGTACTAAATCTGTGCTCACAGAAGAAAAGAGGAACACTGGCCCAAGGACCTAAATATTCAAAACAAGATTTAAATTACAACAAAACAAAACTTTTAAAAACTTTAGACAAACATTTCCAATTTTCAGTTAGATCCAGCAAACTGATATAAAATAATTAAAAATACTTCTGGCTAGCTTATATTCTTGTTACCAAGTCAGGACAACTTTTTGTTCCTAAGAAATGTAGAGATGGTACTTATATTTATTTTATAAAAGTGGAGACAGCATATATATACCACCCAAGCCTTCTATACTCCGTCTATGCCCATTAAAAAAAACTGACATCTTTCCATAAGTCTCCTCAGAATGTGTACATACCTCTATTAGTTCATCTCTCTGGCGAAGACCTTCTTTAAGTTCATCCAACTTACGCTGTAGAACATTGCCCATGTGTTTGTGCCTTTCCAGTTCCTACAGAAAAATATGTAGGAAACTCAAACCTTGGTTTGTATTTCTTACATACATTTTCCATATAAAGTTAAAAGAGGTTACGAATATAAGCAAACGTTAGTACTGATGCTGAATTCCTGCAAGATTAAAAAAAAATTCAAAGAGACTAATAGCTAAACTTCAGTTTCATGGTCTTAAAAAATTTTCCAGACTAGCCAGAAGACTAAAAGCCTTCTAAGTTAGGTATTAATATTAAAAACACACAAACAAACCTGGCTGGTGTCTTGCCCCAACCTCATGATCCAAGGAAAATGAGGTGGTAAGAAGCCAAATTTTCCCCTTCTCATCAGATTAATGAACCCAGATCAGGCTTCTGTGCATTACATCACACGGCAATTGTCAGAAAAATTTTGGATTAACACCCTTTGGCCAGGAAAAATCTTAGTGACTGAAGAATACTGATTTTTACCCAATGAGGCAAGATATTGGAGGCCTTGTCATTTTAACTTTGGGGTGGGCAAAACGCAGCCTGTGGGCTGAATCCAGCCTGCAGAGCAATTTTGCCCAGCCCATTACAGGTCCTTTGGCTCTGCTGGGCAGTGCTGAAGCACTCCTGTGCTAGCCTGCAGCTCATCGCAGGATGCCTGCACAGCAACAGCAGCCCCCAGCCCTGCCAGCTTGGCACGGGCTATGGTGGCATGGAGTGGCAGCAGGGTAGGTGCAGTGGCAGCAGCAGGAGCCCTGGTGAGGTGTTTGCATTCAGAGCCAGGGCCTGGTCTTCAGGGAGATCACGCATGGCTGGGTGGGGACCTAAGTCAGGGGCTGGGGAACGGCCTCCATAAAGACAGGCTCCTGCCTCCAGACACATCACCCTTACCAGGACTCCTGCTGCTGCCCCAACACCGCTCTGCCCCATACTGAGCCAGCAGTGCTGGGGGCTGCCATGTGGGTGACCCAAAGCAAGCTGAGGGTTGGCAGGGAACAGGGGTGTTCCCACCTCCCTTGGCCCAGTCCTGGCAGCTAAGTCCAAGTACATGGTGGGGTGTGGAGTGTCTGCCAATTCACACCTCTCCCTCCCCACTGTGGGCATCTTACCCCAGGCCAGGAAAGAGGATGGGGGGCGGGGGGAGGGTGGCTAAGTTCCCCCCACTTGGTGGGCTCAGCAGTGACACATGGCCATCCCCTACCCTTGCCTCCCCTCCTTGGCTGCAGGACTTGCAACCGTCCTCTCCCCCTTGTGGGTGTTGCAGCCCTCTCAGTGAGGCTCGGCAGCAGCTTCCAGTACTTCCATGGACCTGTGCTGTCACTGCCCCAGTCCCTGACACAGCTCTAAGAAGCCACGCAGGCAGCGTGCACAGGGAGGTGGGAAGTTGCATCCGGGACTAGGGTCAGGGATGGGGCAGAGCTGTGATCTGCTCCCTGCATGCCCCTGCCTGCAGAACCCATGCCCATCAAAGGGGCATGTAGGCACCAGATCATGGCTCCTACATGGCCCTGGCCCTACACTGTCCCTGCCCTGTAATCCCAGCCTTCCCACCTGCCCTGCTCCTGAACACTGCTGCCTGGGGGCCCATCCTGCACAGGGAGTTTTGGCGAGTTGTTGCACTGAGGGGAGGGATGGTGGGGTGGGGGAAGAGAAGAGTGGTGATCCAACCCATGACAGCTCACTAAAACAGCCTATGTGGCCCTCAGGGCCCAAATAACTGCCCACCCCTGTTTTGACTATGCCTGTTCTGGCCTCTCTGCACTAAAACAAATAATTTTCAGCATCCAAAAACTTCTACTAGTAACAAGGCTGACTTTTCTAATTAAAAAAGGCTCTTTTTTCTTTAAAAGCAGTTTATGCTCTTATAATATAGCTTAATGCATGAAATATCAGTCAGTACCTTTGACTTCTCTTTGTTCTCCCTGAAGAACTCTGCCATCTGCTCCTCTCTCTCTTCAATGATATCTTTTAGTGTATCCACTTGATAAATCAAATTGTTTTTCTCATTATCTAACTGTGCATTGGATACCATGGCCTTCTTATACTTCTCTTCAACTTCAGCAAGAGAATCCTACACAGATATTGGAAATATCAGCATTAGTGTATCAAAAAGTAAGATGAATGTTAAATACTATCATAATATTGAAGGACTTAAATTAATTTTGCATTAACATTCAGACAAAACATTTTATTAATCTGCTAAATCAGGCATTGTAGGTAGAAACAGAGAATAAAAACAATAAATCTCTACTCTTCAGCTGATGGTACTAATTCAAAGCAAAGTAATTATTGTAATTTGCACAACAAGCTACAGATTCATTTTTCACTGGTATTATGCCACCTTCATAACTTTGGTACTCATGCTCGTAAAACCCATTTCTCCCATAAATGTATATTTTCTTGACTCTGACAGCTGCATAACTTTTATGTTATGTTTTTGCAAATATACCCTGAAATTACGTTAAATGACAAACTCAATTTAAAGAAAACTAAAACTATTAACTGTTCAAATACAGATTATGGAAAAAAAAAAGTGTAAGCGATCTTAACTGTTTAAATCTTAAATCTATGCTTTAAAAAAAACCTGAGCATGATCACAACTTCTGAATACTTATTATTATATCTCATAACATTATGCATGTTAAAAGTAAACAGAGATGTCTCTTAACTACATAGGGACTTATCAAGACATGTGACTACCTTCAAACAAAATTTATATAATTTTTATACAAATTGGAGTTATATATTGGAGAGTTATTGTAGTTTGATATATCTATATAACGTGTGTGATATAGACCTCTTTATGTAAAAGATACGTATACTTGGTCAGGACTCCAGTATAAAACTGGAGATAGGCCTGTTAAAAGTCTCTTGGTTAGTGTCAGAGGGGAGAGCAACAAGGGTGACATCATGGTGGGTGTCTGCTATAGACCAGACCAGGAGGATGAGGATTATCCCATAGGTCTATATCACACACACACATTATATAAATATATCAAACTTCAATAACCTCTAATATATAACTACATAGCTATATTTATATCTCAAAACACGTGTGTTAAGATAGTCACACATTTTGGTAATCATCTTATGTATAGAGACATCTATGTCTCAAAGTCTGTAATTTTTCCTTACCAAGTTTACTGTTTGTAAGAAAACACTTCATTTACATTTTGGAAATCACAGTAGTTTTGATCTCTCCCTCCCCGACTGCAGAGAACGCATATGTACACATTGTTATATGCCTAGCTCACTCCTAACCACTTCCCTTATGTTCTTTGTGCTTGTGAGGCTTCTGAAAAACAGGATAACAAGCAGCCAAATGTCAACTATCCAAGTACTATATAAGCTATTAGTCTCTGTGAATCTTTTAAAATACATAGTGGCCCTTGTATGAAGTTACTTTCAAAGTGTGAAAACTTAATATCACTAAAAGATGCAAGGAAAAAACAAAAAAACAAAAGCAAAAATGTATTCAATCATCAAGTCCATTTTTTGCCAATGCAGGAATATTTCCCACTCTGTCTTATCCAGTCTTATTTTCAAAGTCTGAACTGATGTAATTTCCAGTATTACTTATTAATAGTATTAGTAGAGAATCTATACAACATTAAGTCATTGGCCATGACTCCCTTTTGCTTGGTGCTGTCCAAAGCAAAGAGCACCTATAATTCAAACTTTCTCAAGAAGAATCTTACAGTTGTTCCAGAAAGTTAGTTTTGACAGCCTAAATTTGACTTATTATAATTTCATCTACATTATTCTGACCTCCCTTTCAGAAGCAGGACACCTGGGTTGAGGAAATGACAGTGTGATACCTTTTTTTTTTTTTTTTTTGGGAGGTGGGGTAGAGGAAAAGGTCTCCAGAAAGTCATACAGAATTAGAACAAAAGAATCAGAAATCTGCAACAGAAGTTTAGGGGTAAACAAAGGGCTGCAAACCTTGTACACTGGTTCTTCTTCTATTTATTATTCTTACTTTTGTTGTAAGTAAAGCATCCTTTTGCCCACTCTTCCCCACCAAAATATAGAATACCTTCCAGGGTAATGTCATTAATATCTAAAGACGGAGATACATATTTACTGTGTAGTAAATATGAGAAATAAAACTTACAGGTAAAAAAATATTTTTTCTTGCATTGCAGTTCTCTGGATAGTTGCAAATAGTAACTAGATAGAAGACTAGGACATAGATGAAGGCAACATAAACTGTCTAAAAGGAATTCTTAATTTTGGTTCTTAGGTAATAAATTAGTAAAATAAAAGAATAATACAAAAATAATAAAACTAAAAGTAATACATTTTCTAAATCAGATCTCAGCCAAGTACCAGTTCTAGAAGTTAAATTTCAACTTCTGGCTAAATGACAAGCATGAAATTATTATTACACAGAAATAAATCATTGCTAATGAAATGTAACTTCACTTATGAGATACAAACATGCAAAGTATTTCATATTTATTAGTGTTAGGCTTATTTTAAAAATATCAGGTGCAAGCGTTAAATGGTGAACGTCTGAATATACAAAATGTTTTGATAACTTGGAGTAAATGGAGAACTTCTAAATAGTTATAACTACAAAACTTAATAATGCTGTATTTTTAATTTAATCTGTAGTTAGTATAGTCACTACAGGATTTCTGATTTGCGTGTATAGTAACACGAATTCTTCGATATCTTTCAGATCAGCCTCCCATTAGGGGAAGTCATTAAAATGCATAAAGGATTCTGTAGCCTACTAAAGGGCATTTCAGAATAGTCCAAACACATTAATGTACTTTTATCAACGGGAACAAATAACATACGTCATCATAGTTTCAGACCATCAGTTTTTATCTATGTGTACTTAGTTATTCACTGAAGGAGAGATGGTCTAGAGTAGAATAATGGACAGCTCAAATCCAAAGTTCCTCTCTACCAGAATGTTACATATATTCTAGCTCCTTCCTCACGTAGATAAGCAAAAAAAATAAAATAAAAAAAATCCATGTAAAATGTAAATTAAGCAAGACCAGAATTCTATGTAATCAAAAGAGTCTCTTCTTCAGTGCTTGCATATGTTTTTCTTTTCTAAGTACGAAACAAATCTGAATTCAAAAAACAAAGAAAAGAATATTCTGAAAAACATTTTAGGTTGGAAGTTCTGTTGAAATTCTTGGCACTTTCTCTGGTTAAACTGTGTCAGAACTATATGTGATTTCTTTCTTTTTCTCATAAGCTACGTGAAATTTTAATGTGCAGTAAATATTAAAAACACATGCTAAGCTGTTCCAGTAAGACAAAAACTGCACTGAGAATACTTGACAAAAATGGAAATGCTATTATGTTATTTGAATGCAGGATTAATAAACATTTTAGGATATACAAGGAAATTGTAACTTTTACATGTCCAAAATAAAATAAATCTGAACAACCCTATGCGCTGCAGAGAAGCCACATGCTTCATGGAAAAACAAAAAAAAAACCTAGTTAATAAAGCAGTTAGTGAAATTGGTAAAAATCTCCATGACCCAAATATACTCATACAGAAATGCATGCTTGGGATAAGCCCTGATACCTTTAGTTCCTTAAGTCCCTGCATGTATCTCCCCTCTACATCGTGTATCTGGTCCTTAAGATCATAGATCTCCTGTAGGACATAGGAATGAACCATTGTATAAAAATAAGAGAAAATAGCTGAAAAATATGTGAACGAAAAGGAAATAAGCTTTGCATAGGTTTCATTTAAATGCAAAAAATTGCAAAACAAAATACAATTAACTCACAGAAACTGAAGACGACCTGCAAGTATATGAATTTTTTACTACGTTGTTTTGCAACCACTATCTGAAAATCACTAGTATTAAAACAGGTCAGCCCCAATCCTTAAATTTATCCAGCTACTTAAAATTTCTTAAAAATAAGTTAATCAGTTCCACAACTTTACACATGAATAATATCATATGAAATATTAAAGAATATAAACCTTCCTTCATAAAAGTGACAGGAGAGGGGTGTCGCATTTTGTTTTCCATGGCAAATAAAGGCTCTCCCGCAAGCCATATTAATCATATTTCTCTTCCTCCCGCCACAGTTTTATTCCTAATCCTCAAATAATGCTATTTACCCTCAATTCAGTTAATGAGACATCGGGATCAACCAAACTGCTGGTATCCCCGCTTCCTCGTCTGGATGAGTTTCCGCTCAGGGGAGTTGCGGTTGCTGAATTTCGAGATGCCGGCTTAAAAGGAGAAAAAAAGTTAACAATACCAGAAACTGTACCAGTGATATCTTCTGGGGTGGTTACCTCCCACCTTAAGATGTGTTTTTAAAATCAAATTAGCTGACAACAAAACAACACCAAATGCTCTGGATTTAAAATCATTTATAATTTTTTCCCTCACCTTAATCTGGAGTCATATACCATATATTTTAAGATGATTAATTTCCAAAATCCAGTTGACATCTTTGTAGATCAATCCATTTACTTACTATGATATACAATGTGTTTTGTAATGTGAAATTTACAAAAATATTTTGAAGTGTTGTAGCATTAAAGAGAAAATCTAGAGAAACTCATCAATTATCAATTTCAACTTTATTTAGTATTTTTTACTCAAATCTCTCTCACTAGCAGACAAAGTGCTGAAGCATACTCAAAAGATTCTATGCAATTCTAGTAACAGTGATCACTTTTCATAATGGGAGTAATACCCACAGAAGCATCTGAAATCAGTTTTTATAGTTCTGCCTCTTAAAAAAAAAAAAAATCAACCTTTCCTGCCAAGCAGGGCAAGTTTTATAAGAGAAATCATATTAGAAAAAGCTTTTCCCATAGGAAGAGATTAAGGGACTGAAAGAGGAATTGGAAAGATCTATCTATAATCTAGCTACGTGACATTTTGCAATCACAGATTTTAAACTATTGGGGTACAAAACACTTCAGTAAAAGCCTACAGCATCCTAACATTGGGAAATCATTTAGAAATTGTTAATAACTGAAGGAAGCTGATTTTTAATCTTAAAAAAAAAAAAAAGAAAAATTTTACCCTTGTATAAATTTCCGAATACTGTTGTTTGTCACACTTTTCTTCCAGCTGTAAGACAAAAAAAAGTTACAATGATAGATTTTATGGATCTAATTCTGTGAATAAACACCCTCCTCTGTTTAACCAAATAAGAAGTAATTTATATAACTACAAAAAAGTTATAAACAATCCTTTAGAAAGCACTTCCCCCAAGCAGAAAAATTCAACTGCTGAACCAAAAATATTTTTTATTTTAACTGAATAATATTCTAATAATTCATGCTCACAAAACAAGCAAACAAACAAAGTCTTCAAAACTTTGGTAACTATGATGTCAGATGGAACTACAAATAACCTGTTATCTAACTAGACTTGCACAAGAAAAATCGGTTGACATTTTAGTTACCAGGAAAAATGTCCAAATCACAACCCAATGTAACTATTTCATAAAGTGGACAGTATCATTAAAAAAAGGAAGATTAAATCAGATCATGATCAAAGAATACTAATTATTATTTACTTTCTATTAAATTGTTTGAGACTATATTGTACCTTACTGAAGCATCAGCAAGAACACACAAGTCTTGTCCTGAGGGTACCAAGTTTTGCCCTCAGTTATACAGACAATGAAGAAAGTCTGGCTCTGCCAGACATCCTGCCATTTTATTTCAGTCAATGTTGGTGTTGGTGCACGGAATGGAACAGGATCTAGCTTAGACTTAAAACTGGATGGCGACAGTCTAGCAACAGCATAGAAGTGGAAATAAAACAAAGTTACTTTCCAACATAGTAATAGTAGCTGTCCCTACATGCATTCCACTGTGGTTGAACAGCAAAATATATACTGCAGGCTAGAGATTTTGCTAGAAACATATATTTGTGCTAGGCATGCACACAACCATTCTTATGCACCCAGCCAAACATATGCAGGATAATGGAGGACCAAATCATCACTGCTTTTATACCAAATCTCCATATAACTATATCCCAGAAAAAAAAGAGGGGGAAAGACTATATAGAAGACACAGAGGATTCATGAAAGAGGATATGTTACTGAATTCATGTGTTTGTCCTTTCAGTGATACCCTATAGGAGACTCCAAGGCAGCATACCAAGTAGATGAGCACTCAGAACCTAGTTGTTGCAGAACTGCAACAATGACTTTCCAAAGAGATGTGAAAAGCAGATGACTATATTAGAGGGTGATTCTTCAATCAATTATGAACAGAACCTCCTGTTGTTGCCCTGCATCTCTCAGTAAGACTGCCCTTAAGGGAAGCTACTGAGTTTACATGGGCCCTAGCTAAATAAGTTTTAATAAAACCAAAGTCAAAGTGTCATAGAAGGCAAAAGTGCCAGCTGCAAACACATGACTTACTTGAAGTGTCTATGTGGAAACTTCATCACCTGCATTTTGTCAGCAAAAAAAGAAGACAATTTAGGATATCACCTGAAAGATTTGGAGCAAATAAAAGGAGATTCTATCATCTACAGCAGGGGTTTTCAACCTTTTAAAATAAGTTTACCCCCAGTTGCCCCCTTTTTAATAAGTGTACGGGGGGGGGGGGGGGGGGGGCAGGGAAGAGCAGCAGCAGTGGGGCATCTGTGCAGCCCTGCTCTCGCCCTGCCCCAGCCCTGTTCCTGTGAGGCAGCGGCGCAGGGTGGTGGCAGCACTCCATCCCTGCCCACATCCACATACCCCCTGGGACCTTTCGAAGTACCCCCAGTTGACAACCCCTGATCTAGAGAATGAAAGACTCTCTTCCCCTTTAGCATAGAGGTGGTAAGCCATGTTAGTCTGAAGTCAGTTAGAAGGTACAGGTACCTTAGAGAGAGACTAATTCAGAAAGGCACGGGCTTTCACAGGAAACCACTTTATTTTGTCAAATGCTAGTCCTATTCAGAGTTTTGACTGATACATTACTAAGATAATCAAGCACCTCTCTTGCTTATTTATGATTTATGTAATAAATCGTGGACATCTGACATAACTTATATGGAACAACTTATATGAACAAACAAGGAATACTTTAAATTAAACACCATGAACCATTTTTCTATGCAAGGGAGTTCCCCAATCTAGCTCTGACTTTACTGTTCTCATTGCAAGAGTTGAAATAGAGACTCCCTCTGGATACCGTCTTCTTGTGAGTCCACTAATTGAGGCATATGTGATATTAATACGAACTAAAATTAAAATGTCATGCTTGCCAGAAACAGGCAAGATTGGAATCATGCTTGAAGACAATGAAGAATACAGTTGTCAGTTGCATGGCATCTTGTATAGAAAATGGAAGATTATACAGAAGTCTGAGGATTCCCTTTGAAGCTGATCTAACAAGGGTGATGAGGTCTTGAATCTTCCCTGGATTATAGGATCAATAAAATTGTTCCAATGCACAAGATAATCAAAACTGATGTCAAAATGGACTTTTCTTTACCACGAGAGCAATCAAATTGAGTAAATGCAAAAAGTGACTGAAGGATCCCTCTTATTAACCAAATGCCTAAATAGGGAAATACTTATTTTGCATATGGACTGTAATCCTAATATCTTGGATTAACACTTAACACTGTCTTAAAATAAACATCTTTCATACTGAGAACTGCAAAACAATATATTTGATCTAGCTGAAGGATAAAATCTGACCATTCTAAATCTGAAGTAAAGAACAGACCTGAGAGCCCTAAGGGTAAACAGAAAACAAACGTATTTATCATTACACGGGAGGGTACAGGTTTTATAGGATACACCTAGAGAGTCAGCTCCTACTTTAGGTAACCTCTCACAAAATCAGCCCTTGAACAAGGAAAGACAAAGATTGGAAGGCATCAGGAAACATATTGGATAAGACTGAAGCAGCTTATGGAAAGAATTCCAACCGCCCATTTGTCCATTAAGTCACGCTGTTAAAATGGCAGAGGCAGGCCCAAAAGACAGAGGAAGATGAGGTCTAGTTCTAGGTGGGTACCCAAGTATTCTGAGGCTGCCATCAATACAGATTAACAGCAGAGGCGGTACAGTCAGAAAGGAAAAAAGCAGCAGAGAAGTCCTTTGCAGTGGATGTGTAAAAAGTTGTGAGGTCTTCCTTCTTATTGGAAGTATACAAAATCACATAACAATGGAAAATGCACCAGAACCTTTCAGCAAATCAAAGAAGAAATCTATCTTCATGCTGCCTGGGATGCTGCTATCAAATAGTAAGTCTTGCATTGCTGCCTGCTTCAGAGGTCAGCAACTCAAGAAAATGTCATATTACTACAACAAAAGCTTTAGAAAACAAAGCAGTGTCAATTTCGTCCAACACCATTTACAGAATGAACAATGCTTGCTTTTATTTACAATGGATATGAAATGATATTTGCAGCCTTGGAACAGTTTTTCACTGGATTAAGTTTGTTATAATTAAATCGTTAAGTCCCTGTTTTGTTTTTTGTTTTTAATTAAAAGCATGGAACATGGAAAAATAACTTCTCTGCTAGAGATGCAGTTATCTTGCATTTTTTAAAAGATGTGCAAACGTTGTTATTGCAAACTTATTGTGACAGTGGCCAATGACACAAGGGAATTAGGAAAGGAAACTAGGTTTTTTTTCCACAGCCTATGAACTGCCCCCCGCAGGTTCCCTTTTCTTTTGCCACATCATCTTTCTTCAGTTAGTTAATTTTGAAAACTTAGTCTTGAAAAAAGATGATGTGGCAACTAATGAAGCTGAAGGAAACCCTCCTGGAAGCAGCTGCATATTCTGGGGTCTATGGATCCAAGATAAAATGTAGGCTTCAGACAGACTCATAAGGAACATTTTGGGGTTAATTTCCCTAGATTTTTTGGCTCTCACCATACATTTTTGGGGGATGTACATCTTTTTAAGCATTAAAGGCAAATGCTGTAGCAGCCATTTAAAGGGACATACGATAGTTTTTAAAACCTGAGTGACATGGTAAAAACAGTTCTTTTGAGTGAAGACTAAAACTTGTTAGAAGCAGAAGGTAAAGACAAAAATGTATTTTGGTGGTGGTGGGGAGTAGCGGGGGGGGGAAGGGAGAGGCAGGGAACTCTTCCCTCTCCCCAAAGTAAAAACTAAGAACACAATTAAAGGAGAAGCTAAGATAAATGCTAATGCTGGCATTTCATTCAGTGACAGTTGATCTTGCACTGCTCTGACCCTTATGATACTGCATGAAAGTGGTGAATGGGCAAAGCACAGACTCGATGGACACTCCTGGATGAACATCTCTAGTCTTTGATGCACGTATACCAAACAGTTGAATGCACATAGTGACAACTTCTTCGGTTCATTTTTGTTACTAGAGCAAGCAGTTACTACCCTAACAAAACTCAAGATTTGTGGACCAAGAAGGTGGCACTTTTATATATTGTATTTTCTTACATACCACCCGTTCCCCTAGTCAAGACAAACACCTTATTTTTGGAAGGGAGAAGGCAGGGTGTGCAGGCAGTGGATCGCGACTCTGCCCCGGCTCCAGACCACACTGTCACCACTACAAGATCCCAGGCCCAGAGCGGCTCCCTGCCCAGCCGCATGCCCTGCCGGTGCTGCTCTCCATGGAAAACCCAGGTCTGCTCTATCACAACCCCACCCCTCCTGGGGTCTTCATGGAAACTAGCAGCAGCAATGTGGGCAGGGGCTGTTGGGAATTGAAGTCTGGCTGCCAGCTGGATCCACCATTATGTCCACCCCAGCCTTAGAGAGTTAGAGGTTGTGCCATACCATCAAACTCTTTTCTTAACCCTTTTAAAATAAATCTAGCATGCCAAGAAACAGTTATTTTTATTGGATTAGTATTTGACAATTTTCTTACAAAAATGTGAAGTTTACAAAAACAGCAACAAAATTCTTGCTATTAGGTACATGTCATTAATCATTTTTAAAGGCAGGCTTCTTTCAATTACAGAATTAACATCTATGTTCAAATGTGTCATTCATAGGACAGATTTACACAGAAACATGCATTACACTCACGCTATTTAGATCTGGAATAATTACATCATCCACATCAGAGACAATACTTCCCCTACGGTTGGAACGACTAAAATAATCAGCTGCAGTTTCACTTTGATCAGAAAAATCAGATGACTTCAAAGCCAGATACAGAAGGGAAGAAAGAACAAAGTACAGAATGGAAAATATTAACTGAATGAACACAAAAAGAAACCCTTTCCAAGAGTAAGAGGCAGTTATATTTAAATATAAAGCATGAATGGAACCCCCCTCC